ACGAAAATGATGAAAATGTGGCTGCGGCCTAGGCGCGGCGGGGGGGGCGCGCACCAGGGGCCCCAACAATAATTATTCTTTAGAATTAATAATGTTCAACAACAACAACAACACCAACAACAGCAACAACAACTACAACAACACCAACAACAACAACAACAACAAACAACAACAACAACAACAACAACAACAACAACAACAACAACAACAACAACAACACGAATCCGCACCGAGGAATTCCACTTTAGCCACGCACCCAGGGACAGTGAATGACCGTTCGGCCCCCTCACTCTGATCCCCCAAAAGGGCATCGATCGAACACGAAGAGGGCGGGTATCGAGGGTTTGGGGAATACGCGTTACTGGACACTCGAGCAGATAAGGGCGAACAGTCTGAAAATGATTATTGTTGTTGTTGTTGTTGACGTTGTTGTTTGTTGTCGTCGTCCCACCCGCGACCCACCCGCGACCCACCCCGCGATCCGCCCCGCGACCCGCCCCGCGACCCACCCCGCGACCCACCCCGCGACCCACCCTGCGACCCACCCCGCGACCCACCCCGCGACCCACCCCGCGACTCACCCCGCGACCCACCCGCCACCCACCCCGCGACCCACCCTGCGACCCACCCCGCGACCCATCCGCGACCCATCCGCAACCCACCTGCGATCCACTCCGCCGCCCACCCGCGACCCACCCTCAAGGGAGGAACAACCACGCGGACCCGACATTCGACGTTTATTAACACGGCCTTGGGCGTTGACAAGGTAGCCCTGCCCTGTTCGATTCCTTCCTTGTGTGCGTTTAATCAACGGCTTCGCTTGCTGGGGTGATTATTACGGGATGGGTTTTCTGCCTTCTACACCTGCGACCCAGTTGCGACCCACCCGCGACCGACCCACATTTGTTTAACAGAAAATCGGCGCCCACGGCGGGCTCGTTGTATAAATCGTCAAAAATTGTGGCGCCTGCGGCGGGGTTCTCTAGAATCTCGCAAATTGCCGACGTCCCCACCGCCCCCTCGCTCTTATTCGCATGCGCGGGGTGCTACAGTTTCTGCGTTTCCGCACTTCCCCTGCTATACGAGTCCGAGGCATGCGCCGGGCCTCTAATGGGGGTCCCTGGACGCAAGAAGCGACCAACATTACATTACATGAATTCGCTTACCAAGCCGAGGTATATCTTGAGCTCGCGCGAAGCGCGTGCGATGGTTCTTGTATATCGTACATATATACCTATACGACCACCCTTCGGGTGAGGAGGAGCTTCGGGGGGGGGAGGAACCAACGTCTCACTCGATCGGTCTCACTATCGATCTCACGATCGGTCTCGCTCGATCGATCTCACTTGGCCGACCTCACAATCGATCTCACTTGATTTGTTTCATTCGATCGACCCCACAACCGATAGGACCGATCGATCTCACATTCGATTTCACCATCGACATCCCTATCGATCCCACAATATATCTCACTTTCGGTCTCACGATCGATATCACTATCGATACCACAATCGATACCACAAGCAAAGTCATCACCATCATCGGGATCATCGTCATCATCATCAACACCATCATCATCATCATCGGGACACCATAATCATCATCGCATCATCACCATCATCACCAACATCATCAGCATCACCATCATCATCGGGGCCCCATCATCGTCACCATCATCATCACCATCAGCATCCCCATCGGGACACCATCAACATCCTCATCATCATCGGAGCACCGCCATCATCATTGCATCACCATCATCATGCAACACATCGTCAAGATCATCATCATCGGGGCACCATCATCACCATCATCTGCAACATCATCAGCATCAGCATCGTCATCCTCATTGGGCCACCACCATCATCGGGATACCAGCATCATCACCATCATCATCATTGGGACACCATCACCACCATCAACATCAGCATCACCATCATCAGCATGATGTGGCCACCATAGTCAGCATGATCATCACCGCACCATCATCGTCATCATCAACATCATCATCATCGAGTACCATCATCGTCATCATCCTCACCATCACCAACGTCATCGTCATCGGGACACCACCATCATCATCACCAGCATCATCATCATCATCAACTTCACCACCATCATCACCATCGGGACACCATCATCACCATTTCATCATTATCACCATCGGCACCAGCAGGGCCATCAACATCACCAACTTCATCGGGGCACCATCATCATCACCAGTAACCGCATCACCAACATCATCACCATCAGGACACCACCCTCATCACCCCCATGGCCATCATCACCACAATCACCATCATCATCATCATCGGGACACCGTATTCGTCATCAAACTCACCACCAACATTATCATCATTGGGACACCATCATCATCATCATCATCGGAGCACATTCATCATCATACCATCGTCAGCGCCCCGAACAACATCAGCAACATCATCATCGGGACACCATCATCATCAACAACACCATCACCATCAACATCATCATGGTGACGCCATCATCATCGTCACCATCATCATCAGCAGCAGCATCATGATCATTATCATCAACCTCGCCTCCATCATCACCATCGGGACACCATCATCACCATTTCATCATTATCATCATCGGCATCATCAAGCCATCAACATCATCAAGATCATCGGGGCAACATCATCATCACCAGTAACAGCACCATCAACATCATCACCACCAGGACACCATCATCATCACCACCATGGCCATCACCAGCATCACCATCATCATCATCATCGGGACACCGTATTCGTCATCAAATTCAGCATCAACATTCTCATCATTGGGACACCATCATCATCGGAGCACACTCATCATCATACCATCGTCAGCACCCCGAACAACATCAGCAACAACATCATCGGGACACCATCATCATCAGCCGCAACACCATCACCATCAACATCATCATTGTGACACCATCATCATCTTCACCGTCATCATCAGCACCATCATCATCATCGGGACACCATCATCATCATCAACATCAGCATCATCATCATTGGGCCACCACCATCAAAATCATCATCACCATCTCATCACTATCCGCACCAACTCCATCATTGCAATCATCATCAACACCATCATCATCGGGGCGGCATCATCATCACCATCGTCATGATCAACCGCATCAGCATCAACCTCACCATCATCATCGGGACACCATCATCATCATTGTCATCATCATCGTCATTTCATACCATCACCATCAACTTCATCAGGATCACCCGCATCATCGGGACACCACCATCATCCGCAACATCAGCATTTTCACCATCATCATCTGGACACCGCCATCATCACCACCATGGCCATCATCACCATCATCATCATCATCATCATCATCAACATCGTCATCATCATCATCGGGACACCGACGGGACACCGGCGGGACACCGGCGGGACACCGCGGGGCCTCGGTTGTCGGAAGGGAGACTTTTGGTCCGGCCGCGTCTCAGCCAGAGGCGGGACGTTTCTCGCCCGCCCAAGCAGGTCTGCCTCGCCCGCACGCACGGCCGGCACGAACACGAAACCGAAACCGATTTCCCCGTAGGGGGTCTCTCCGTTCCACTTCGATCTCACCCCCTCACCTCCGATATACATACACACAGGTAAAACATCGGCGGATGACATCTCACATGCCAGGAACGCGGAAGCGTCGCACGTCAGCACGTTGATTCGCATTAGTTGTCACATGAGTACGTCAAACGAATATTGAGGAACGCCACGGGCCAAACACACGAGCACTCTCCAGGAGGCACTTGGAGCACTCCTGCGTATTGTATTCCATTGCCTCCCGCAGCGAGTATCTAATGCATTGCCTCCCGCACTGAGTATAGTTTTGTCTTGCCTGCTGGTTCCATCCCGGAGGAAGTGGTGCATCTTTCGTGGGGGGTAGTGCACCTCCCGCAGGGCATATTGCATTGCATCCCGAAAGTTATGTTTTGCTATTGCTTTGTGCTGCTTCATGCCAGCTGGCCTGCCTGCCTTGTGCGTTTGCGTCACGAGCCTCGGGGGCCATGAGGGCCCTGGGCACACCTCAAACTCCGCCTCTGCCTCCACCACCTTCGCAGGCCCCGCCGGCTGGCAGCCAACGCTATGGGCACTTTTCATTTCTGCGCCAGCCCATCCGATCATCAGTCGCATACATATTTGTGGCATGGCGCCATAGGGTGAGTCGAGTCGAATCGAGTCACATCCTCCGCAGGCATCTCGGCTTCCAGGTCTGGGAGACCGCGAGTAAGGTGGATCCAGTCGAGGCGGGACACGGCCAAGAGCGAAGCGAGCGATATCGGGGGTGTTTGCGGGGGGGCTGCCGTGTTGGGGCGCCAGAGCTGCAGATGATGGTCTTCGGCCGAGTTCGTGCTAGCAGGCTAAAGCCAAGACGCTGATAGAAGAGGCCGGTTTGGGCTCAGGATGGGCTCGAGTTTTCGTGCCGTGTTGAGATCGACGTCGTGAAACTTGTTTGTGGCCTAGGCCGCCGCCGTGGTCAGAAACGCCCCTTCGTTTTTTACTATATATATTGGCTTCCCAATGGTAGGTAACACGATCTCCCCTTGTACGTGCGATCTCTCTACGTACGTACGTGCGTCCCCTTCGTTCCTTTCTATATATTATGGTTATCCGCCCTCGTACGTGCGCCACACATCAGCATCACCTCTACCGATAGGGGATGTGGGCGAAATTGCGTCGACGAGGACGACAGGGGGAGATCGACGTCCCTCCTGCGCTATTCTCGTTGGTGCAAGCGTCACTGCCGGCGCATACTTCACATCAATCTCACAGTATTTGACCATCCCCCTAACCTAGAACCTCGAGTTGTCCAAAGACAGTCGCTTAGTTATTGAATGTGGTCGCCCTTTCTCCACAGCGCATGCATGTTAGGTTGCTTTGAGCTCCTGCGGTTCAAAGGAAGCTGTTTCCTCCCGCCCAGGAGGAGGACGAGGAGGCTCGCGCTCACAGCAAGTCACGGCTTCCAGAAATGCGGGTGAGCGCGTCTGGCGACCCACACCTGGTCAACGTGCAGGCATCGCCTCTCCTGCTGTTGCGGCGACGACCAAGCGACGACGGCCGACCGACCGACCGACGACGTCGACCACGACGTCGACCACGACGACGACGACCACCGGCCACGAATATGAGTGACATCCAGATCTGCCCAAAATTCTCTATCATTTTTCTCGTTCCTCGATCCTCGGCGACGACGGCGGCGGTGGCAACGTCGACGACGATGGACGACGATGGCCGACGACGGACGACGACGACGAGGACGACGACAGACGATGACCCACGACGATGACCGACGACGACGACGACGACGACCACCGACAGCGACGACGACGGCGTGGGCGCGGGCCGAAATGCTGGCCAGTCTCCAGCACCGTTGGGACGCTGGATCCGTCATTGCGGAGGGGGATGCGCGGGTTTCGGCCAGGTCTGGGGCCCCAGAGGGACTGGACCCCCCCCCGCTTCCCGCCGTTCCCCCCTCGAGCGCCGCGAATGTCGAGCGCCCGTCCCCAATCATACAGACAAGATCGGCATCGGCGACTTTTGCGAGTGTCAGAGGAGTAGAGGTTGGCACCATCATCAGCACGTACCGGCGATTGCCTCCACCGATGGAAGGTGATCCTGATCTTGTCGGTGGTGTTGCGGTTCGCATTTCTTAGGTACCCGAGATATTAACACTGGGACTAAAATCCAGGAACGTCTTCCCCCATTGGAGGCAAGCCCATGTGTTGGTGTTGGTGCCGGCGCAAGGGAGACGACGAGGCGGCGACGGACGCTCCCCGGACGCCAAAGCTCGGAGGACGCCCGCTAGCGCACAGTGTGCGGCGACGAGGCGAACGGGCGCCCACAGGGCCGCACGGAGGAGGAAGAGGAGGAGGAGGAGGCGGAGGAGGTCCGTAGCCATTTTGGCTCAAGCCATTTTGGCTCAAGGCTCAAGCGCCCCGCGTCCGGGGCACTGCTTTCCACTGCTGGGCGTCTGCCCCACCTACATATCCATTTACACACTGCTTCTCGGCCTGTCGGCCCGCAGTGCATGCGCCGCCCGGCGCCCTTCTCATTCTCGTGCGCGCTCGTTCTCGCACAGACATGCCTCCTGGCGACAGGGGAACTCGACGCCAGCCTCGATCCGACGACCGAGCTCCTGCAGGCGCCGGGTCCGGCGCTTCTCATCGGCATCGCCGCTCCGAAGATCGATCCCGCGACGCTGCAGCTGGAGCAGGATCTGCTACACCTCGGAGGAGCCGCAGTCAGCAAGGGCGTGGTGAGGCGCTCTCCGAAGGCGAACGCGCTGACCCATGGCAGCCTGGCAGCTCTGAGCACCGCGCTGACCCCTGGCAGTCTCGACCCCGCGGCGACGGCGATCGGCGACCTCCTCGCCCCGGCTCCGACGGCGACGGCCGGGATCGGAAGGGCTCCCACAGCCCTGGGCGGGACGATGACGCCTCCAGCACGGACCGCGCTGACGACGACGACCACGTCACCAGGGCAGAGCATCGCCACGCTCTCAAGGAGTTGGCGTCGAGGATGGGCTCCAGGATCTCCGCCATGGCGGAGGCGCATAAAGACGCGGCGAACAACACCTCCACCAGATTCAAGAAGATCGCGGCTGACGTCACCAGCCTGGGTTCAGAGATCGCCCAGGAGTGCCAGAATCTCTTCGGTCGGCGCATCGACACGCTGGAGAAGCGCATGGACGACGTTGACATCACCAACGCGAGACTTGCAGCCAGGCTGGACACCCTCGAAAAGGAGCTTGGGTTCATGCGCGGCGGCGACCCCGGCCCCGCTCCAGCCGGCCCGGCCTGGAACCGCCCCAAGGACACCACCATCCTGCGCGTCGTCGCCCGCGGCCAGGTGGCGAACCAGGTCAGCGCCTCCCTCACCGACTGGCTCGATGCAGCCAACATCAAACCGGACCGAGTGGAGCTCATCGGCGACGACCTCGGCAAAAGCTTCACCCTCCAATTCAAGGGTACACGCGAGTGGGCCACCAAACAGGTCACACTCGCACGGTCCGCCCTTCGGCGTGCGGACGGCTCTTGGCGGTCATTTTCCTGCCCCGCCCCCAGCGGCGACCTCATCAATCTCGCGGTCGATGAGGATAAGAACCAGCATGACCGCACCCTCGAGTTCAAGCTCCGGAAAGCAAGGCGGGCGCTCACGGCCGCCACCGGGAAACGCTTCTTCGCGGACAAGCCATCGGGCACCATCACCCATGACTGGACCCCCGTGGTCAAGATCGGCGTCGAGCCCGACGGCAACGTCGCACTTATGTGGAACGACAAAGGTATCGAATCCCTTGGGCTTCAACGCCCCCAAATGGCGATGGCCCTGCGAGCCGCTCTCACGCCAGACGCCCTGGAGTGGTGTCTTTGACGCATTCGCACCGCACCACGCCTTCAAGATAGCCACGTGGAACAGCAGGGCTCTGACCACCCTGGACAACAAGATCAGTGACCCGAAGATCCACGCTCTCGGCAGTGCTTTGAGGGCGAACGGCATCGTCCTCCTCCAGGAGGTCCGTGGCAACGACACCGTCCTCCGCGAGATCCTCCACCGGGTGCACTTCCAAGGATACACGTTTTCCTCCTACCTGCCCGAAGGTGTCGTTGGCGGTGGCGTCGTGGTCCTCGTCAACCAGATCGCAGGCCGGGCCGCCCCCGCAGTGGTGTCCCATAGCGCTCCCGTACATGGCCGCATCCAGCGGCAATGACTTCGAGGCCGGCTCGAGGCTCTGCAGGCTCCACCCGTGGATCTCCGAGCACGTCCACGTCGACCTCAATGTCAGTCGTGCCACCCTGACTGACCCCCCTCGCTTCGCCGCGCTCCACTCCCGGTTGCAGAGGGAGGAGGCGCAGCGCAAGGAGGCAGCCCTCCTTGCTGAGGAGGCCCAGGAGGCCAGCTCCCGGCGTCGAGCCAAGATAGCTGGACAAAGGTGTGCGCTACGACGTCGTGCTCTGCTCTTCTCGCCCTTCTTGGCAAGGAAAGTTCCCGCGGGGATCCGCGTCGAGAGGCGCGCGATCACGGACCCTGAGGGCATCCACGCTGAGCTGTCCGACTACTGGGGCCGCGTCTTCTCGGCGAAGGCGCCGCCGGGGCCCGGCGCTCGCCGCTACCTCGGCCGCTTCAACGGCAGCGCGTTGGCCGGGCAGGTGGACCCGCCAGCGCGCCGTGATTTCGCCAAGTTCGCGGAGAAAATGCCGACCAGCGCCCCTGGTGTCGATGGCCTTCCCCGCGCTGCCTCGGGACGGCGCATGCAAGGACGCGGTCCTGACCGAGTATGTCCTTTCGGGTGTGCCCGCGGCGAAGACGACATCTCGCGCGTGGCGGCCCAATGCCCGAGGTTCAACATCGCCTTCGAGGCGGCGGCTCGCTGCTCGGCCGCCCCGCCGCTGGAGCACAAGCTGGGCCTTCCCCCGTCCGTCGAGAGCCAGCTCAGCGCTGCCGCGTCTTGGCGCCTGTGGCGCATTGCCAAACGCCATCCACAGCGCGGGCACTTCGCGGACGAGACGCTGCGGGACATCGGGGCCGCGGCACGGTACGCGGTCCGCTTGGCCAGCGGGCGCGCGGCGCGGCAGCGGGCACCGACCTCGACGGCCTCATCCTCTTCTTCCACGGCCTCCCGCTCGACGGCGCCGCGCCCCCGGCACGCGCCGATGGCGTCCTCGTCTGATTCCGGCGTCCTCGAAGTGAGCTCTTCCTCGGCGGGTTCACTCTCGAGCTGGGGCGCTTCGACGCCGCCCGCGCTGCTAGCCTCGCCGATCCAGGACGCCGACGACGACGCTGAGGCGGTTCCTGGGTCAAGGGGCCCCCCTCCTGGCGATGATCTGGTAGCCCGGGGCGCGGGGGCAGCGGCCGGTTCTTGGCCACATTCACCATCCATGTCAACGGCGACCCGCGAGGTGCCGACCCCGCCTCGGGCGCGATGCAGGATGGAGTGGGCCGCGGCGGCACGCTCGCGCGGAGGAGGAGGTGGAGGAGGAGGAGGGGGAGGGGGAGGAGGGGGGGGAGGAGGGGGGGGAGGAGGAGGAGGAGGAGGAGGAGGAGGAGGAGGGGGGGGAGGAGGAGGAGGAGGAGGAGGAGGAGGAGGAGGAGGAAGAAGAGATCCGTAGCCGTCTTGGCTGAAGGGTAAACGTTGGGAAGGGTTATAGACGCTTGTCTGTGGCCGATTCTCGAGGACTTTGGCCAGGTTGTTTCTGTGCTTCTCGCTCGAGCCCACAGTGGGCCGCCCTGGCGGCAGTGAGTCAACCCGTCGGGAATTCTCAGGTCAGCAGCCATGGCGCCAAGATGGTATTGTGGCAAGTGCGCGTTCTTCAACTACGCGCACCGCGCGACCTGCAACCGGGCAGGTTGCGCGGGGTGCCCCCCGCATGGCCAAGTTCCGAGGCAGGGCCATGGAGAGTGGGCGCGGGTGCCAGCCAGCGCGTGGGCGCGTGGGCCGCCCATGACAAGACTGCTGAACCCAAGGGTAAAAAGTAAAGGCCGCTGGCAAGAGGGAGGCAGCGGAGATGGAACGCACGCTGGGCATGGGCGCCAGCAGCAAGTTGTCCATGCGTTGTTGGCGGAGGAGATGGAGCTGTGGATGGGCATGGATGAGGTCCAGTTTGCCCCGCTCCCCCTGTCTCGCAGTCAGCACCAAAGAGACCAGCTCTTCCACAAGGGCGCCATGCAGAACTTCGGGCTGCATGGCGCGCAAGCGGAGGCGCAGCAGGCCAACCTGCTCATCGGCAAGTATTCGTAGCAGGTGTTGCGGGGCAAGCACAAGTTTGCGAAGTTGGAGGCGAACGCGGTGCAGGCAATGGTCGCGGCTGCCGAGGTCAAGGAAGACCTCGCAGCAGTCGCGGCGGAGCTGGCCGCCGCGAAGCGACGCATGGCGCAGCTGTGCGGGGCGACCAAGCGGCGATCGACATCGGGGAGACTGTGGGTTCCCCGCTCATCGCGGCGGCGGGCTCGTTCAAGGCGTCCCTGCCCGCGGAGGCGATCAAGGGGCAGGGCCTGCAGGGGGCGTTCAAGAAGATGGAGGGCGTTATCGGCCAGGTCGCCCGTGCTGCCGCGCAGGCAGTCGCCGCGCCTGGCGACCCAGGAACAGGCGCGAATGCTCCAGGGGCTGGCGCGCGCGGCGAGGCCGGCGCGGCCAAGCGGTCCAGCGCGCCGCGCCGTCCAGGGCGCAAGGTCGCGCAAGGGGCTGCTGCTTGGAGTTTTGCTGTTTCTGTCGATGGCGTGCCAGGCGGCAGGCGCGGACAGGTCACCATGGTCGTTGACGGCGATGAACACTACCACCAGCACGCGACAGCTCTGGGGGAGGCTCGAGGGGCATGACAAGCTCAAAGAGTCCGAGATTCAGGCCACGCAGCGATGCCTGCATTTTTTTCCTGAGGGCGAATGCTCTGCCAGTCTCTGCGCGCTGCAGGAGTGCAAGGAGCGCGAGGCTGACGCGGCCTCAAGCACCAACTGTCCTTCGAAATTTGGTTGGGATGCCCGTCTTGGGGCCTGTGGCGCGACCGAGTCTGGGGGCCTCTCATAGGGGGTGTAGGTCTGGCCTGTAGGTGAGGGATCGGCATGGGAAGAATGCCAGATGAACCCCGACCCCGCTCCAGGTGCGTCTCTTCCTGGATCGGGGGTGGTTTGAAGGGCGGTTTTGTTGCTTCCTCTGTCTACCGCCCTGGAGATGGAACTGGGGCTCGTGGAAGGCAAGTCTTGGGTCAGTTGGGCGAGTTCCTCTACTCTGCGGGAAAGCCGTTCGCAATGGGAGGAGACTTTGATACAATTAATGCGGTCATCGTGGGGCCTGCTACGCGTGCGCGCATGTCAGGAAAATAGTGGGCATCTTGGCTTCTTTGGCGGTCTCGGGCGCCCTGGTTCCTCTCGCGGTCAATCGCGAGAGGATTGAAGCAACTGAGTTGAGTGCGCATTATCCCGCGCGCTTCATACTGAGACTGGATGCGCACCTTTCGATGCTCCGACGTTTGGCACGTCTCCGTCAGTTTCCCGACCTCCCGACGGGGCCCGCGCCAGCGCCGCCTGTTGACTGGCAGACGTACCTTCATATTTTGGAGGAGCTCGTTGAGGGCTCAACCTTCACGGCCGACCAGGCCAAGTCCACGCACGCAGATTGATGTCGCATTGCAGAGGCGGAGCTCGCGATCACGCGCCAGATGCCATTTGGCCAGGCTGGCGGGCGCGAAGGGGGAGGGTTCCCGATGAGGCATGTGTGGGGAAGCTAGATTTCCAAGGTTGGGGGCCCCTGCCCGATTGGTTCTCCTGTTTCGAGAGCTATGAGGAGGTGTCGCGTTCGAATGGAGAAGCTTTCTCGCTTGCTGAGTCAAGGTGGGGCTGAGTCTGGCAGGCAGGCGCAGGACCTGCTGGCTAAGACTCGTGAATCGCACAAGATCCTGCGGGTGGGTGTGGGGGGCGGGGGGGGGGGGGGGGGGGGGGAGAAGTGGGTCAACAGAAGGAGACGCCATTTTTTTTATCGAGCGCTATGGGGGCGATGCGCTGCGCGTAGCTTTGCCGGATCACAGCCAGCGCGTTCAGGGCGAGGGGTGGCGGTGGAGCCGTCGGCACCGGGATATTGCGATGGCCTTGCAGCCGGCGCCGCCGACCCTGAGGTCGGGGAGGAGGGCGCGGGGCACGGGGCGGTGATGAAGAGGGGGGCAGGAGGGGGGGGCGGGTGAGGAGGAGCAGGAGCATAGAATGGGGGGCGAAGTGGAGGATAGCGAGGCGAGCAGGGTCGCGGGGGGGGCGCGATGGAAGGGCAGGGGCGAGTCGGGCGCGGCGTTCATGAGGAGGAGAGGGGAGATAATGGCGAGGGTGTTGACGATGCTGAGGACGACGCCGGTTGCCGATGAGGACCATTGGGGTCGTCTTGGGGCCTTCTTGGAGCGACTTCCAGGTTTCCTTCGTCTTTTGGAAGCTAGGTTCGGCGTCGTGGGCATCTGCCACCAGGGCGAAAGGATTGCCAAAGAGAATCTCAATCGCCCAAAACAGAGCCGGATGATATTTGAGCTCCGGAGCTCCGGGGAAAGTGGAAAATATCCTCATGATCTCTCGATGCGCGCGATTCCCGTTTCATGAAAATGCATGCCAGGCGATATCTCTTCTAGTTGCGGGGACAGGGGAGCGAGGTGTGGAGGGGCGAGGGATCGGGGCGAGCGCTTCGGCGCCTTATTTCGCCCGTCGCCACTCGCTTCGCGTCTCTTCCATCCACCACAGCCAACTCCAAACGAAGAGGCCACGACGCGCCAAAAGCACGTCGACAATTCTTCTGAAACAAGAGTATACAAATGCATGGGCGCAGCATGCCGACAAATGCGGGCTACGCAGCGTCAAAGGAGGAGGAAGCGGAGGAGGAGGAGGAGGAGGAGGAGGAGGAGGAGGAGGAGGAGGAGGTGGAGGAGGAGGGTGGAGGAGGAGGAGGAGAGGAGGAGGAGGAGGAGGAGGAGGAGGGGAGGAGGAGGAGAGGAGGAGATGAGGAGAGAGGAAGGAAGAGGAGGAGGGGAGGAGAGGAGGAGGAGGGAGGAGGAGGAGGAGGGGGAAGGAGGCGGAGGAGGAGGAGGAGGAGGAGGAGGAGGAGGAGGAGAGGAGGAGGGGGAGGGGAGGAGGAGGAGGAGGCAGGAGGAGGAGGAGGAGGGGGAGGGGTGGAGGAGCAGCAGGAGGAGCAGGAGGAGCAGGAGGAGCAGGAGGACAGGAGGATGAGCAGGTGGAGCAGGAGAGGAGGAGGAGGAGGAGGAGAGGAGGAGGAGGAGGAGGAGGAGCAGGAGGAGGAGTGAGAGAGGGGGAGGCGCGAAACGCGCACGGCCCGGCCGCGCGCGGCCTTAGGAGGGCGGCCACCGGCCGCGCTGGGCGAGCTCCGCCGGCGAGTACGCCCCGAGCCAGCGCGGGGGGACCTGCATGCTGCTGCAGCAGCATGCATGTTCTGCAGCCGGGGCCCCCCTCCATGGAGGGGGGCCCCGGCTGCGCAACATCGATGTCGCGCCGGGCCTGGATGCTGTGCAGCTCGAGGACCCTTTTCCAGCAGCCGCGCGTACGCCTCCGCGCCATCGCGGTCCTGCTGTGGCGGCGGGCGCCGCTCCGCCACCACGGCGCGCGCCTCCGCGGCGGCCGCGCGCGCCTCCGCGTCGGTCGCGCGCTTCTCCGCGGAGGCCGCGCGTCCCTCTGCGGTGGTCGCGCGCGCCTCCGCGGAGGTCGCGCGCGCCTCCGCGGCGGTCGCGCGCACCTCCAGGAACGGTGAGCATATCCATATCCGCGCCCTCGCGGTCTGAATTGCGAGGCACGATCCCGCGGATACGCCGTCGCACAGGTACGCCCCGCGGAGAGCATTCGCGAAAAGACGCCCCGTATCCGCGGGGCCGCGGCGCAAGAGCCCGGCCCGCGAGGCCACGGATATGGATATGTTTCCCGCCCGCGGGCCTCCGCGGCGGCCGCGCGCTCCTTCGCGTAGGCGTGGCCTGAGCGGCCTGAGGCGCCGCCGCGGCGGCCGCGCCGCTTGGGCGCCGGCGCGGCCGCCGCCGCCGCGGCGGCCGCGGCGGCCGCGGGAGGCGCCGCCGCCGCCGCCGCCGCCGCCGCTGCGCGTTTCCCCATGACCCCCCGGCGGCGGCCGCCGCCGATGCGGGGGGGCTGTGGTCTGCGGGGCGCAGCGGGGCGCGCGCGCATCCCCGTTCGAAATCCACCGGCGCGTTTCCTGTTTTGTTTGTAAACTTTATATCTCCTGGCCAGCATGGCGACTTCCTTATCGGGAAAAAAGCCCGCTCGCGCAGACGTGCGCAAGTTGAATTGCAATATATTTTACAAAGATCACCCCGCGCGCGCGCGGAGTTCCGCACTGTCAACGGTTGCCCAATTGGATTTCGAAGTGAACACGGGGTGCGATTGTTTGTACCACGGTGTGGCTGCTCTTATGTTGCGCGCGCGCGAAATGATGCCTTGCACGCGATAGAAATGTCGCCGCGTTGGCCTAGTGGGCGGGGTAGGAAACTAACATCAACCCTCTGTCACCGACTGTGGCGCAGAATTTCCAACAGCCAGCAAGCGCGCGTCCGCGCGAGAGCGCATTTTTATTTTTTTTTCCCCGTGATGGGACAACCGCCAACCACTCGGTTTGGGCGTCGCAGATCGGGTTTCCAAACCGCGACATACGTCTTGTATACAGGCTCTCCATCAGCGCCCGCGCGAGTGGGATTCTGCAATTCCCAAATGAGGAAGTCGCCATGCAGCCTGCATGGAAACTACGCACAGAACTCTCCACGCGCGCGTGGTGAGTTCTGAACCCGAAACAGAAAAGGTCGCCCCGTTGGGCCATGGCGTGAAGGCAACACATCGCGCGCGGCGATTGGATTTCGATCGGTTTGCGAGCGAAGCAAAAGGGGGAGAAAGGGAGGGGGAGGGGGAGGAAGGAAGGCAAATCGGGGAGAGTTCGTTTCCCCGAAAGCCCTTCCTCTCGCTCGCATCCCGGCGCTCTCGCTTGCGCGGACCTGTACTTCCGCTGGTCGGTCCAATCGGCGCGAGCAGCATTGCCCGTTGACCGCGGGCCGGGCGAAAAACACTTGCAAGCGCGCCGATGCGCCTGTGCCGTGCCGAGGGTGTATAACCACTCCGCCGATGGGAAAACAAACCGCTCAGTTCGGTCCCAGGCGGGTCCGAAAAGAAGGGGTTATCCCCCCATCCCCCCTGGAAGAAGAGGGCAGGGGAGAAGGGAAAGAGCGGGGAGGAAGACAAGGAAGGGCAATGAGGGGGGGACGCAGGGGGGGCGAAGATGAGGATAGCGATGACGACGAGGATGGGGAGGGCGAGTATGACGATGAGGACGAAGAGGGCATGCGAGGAGGAGAGGGAGGAGGGGGGGAGGAGGAGGAGGGGAGGAGGAGGAGGAGAGGAGGAGGAGGAGGAGGGAGGAGAAAGGGAGGAGGAGGAGGAGGAGGAGGGGTGACCGACACGGACCACAGAGGACAGGTGAACAGGAAGCACGGCACCAACCGGGGAGGAGGAGGAGGAAGAGGAGGGGGAGAGGAGAGGGAAGCGGAGAAGAAGGGGGGTAGAGG